CTATAGTTTGATAACTATTTTCCCCATAATTTATTTCAAATCAAGAATCGAAAACTCTTATGCATTTTGTAATCTGATTAATTATTATTTTATTATATATACTAATATTATTAATTAATATTATTAACCCTAGTGACATTGTTATTTTTAGTTTCCTTCCCGATAATACTAGGGTTTTTGAGACCTTGCAACTTTGTCGCGCTATATCTCTGAACTGAATACATATTTTTTAGCTCAAAACATATGAAATTTATACCTCGAACTCAGAGGACAGATAAATATGAATCAAATAAATAATATTTTATGTTATGTATTAATAAGTAATATTTTCAATTAATTACAATTAAAAAAATTTTATTGGAAAAATTCGCAAAAAATGACTATTTTGGATAAAAAAATTCTCAAATTTTTAAATTTAATATTTAAACAAAAACATGTGGGATTTTTTTAATTGATCCTTTGGACTAACAAAAAAAATAGTACGATATAAATCGTTCAAAAAAGTATAATTATTTGAACTATCGAAAATCGACATTTTTGAAGAATCTACATATTTTAAGTTTACAATTAATAAATAAAATTTTATTATTTGAACAATATAAAAGAGTAATAATATAAGTAGATAAAAAAATTGTACATGTATAAATATTATTATACATAGTATATATAATTAAGTTTATTAGAATTTAGTTAGAAGAAGATGCAACACTCGCTTTAAAGCAATAAATCCGCCCCGGCCGAGCAATCTCCGAAGACTGACAGAAATTATAAAATTATAAAATTTCTACTATTTATTACATTGAAATATAATTCTTTTTATTCTTTTATGAATATAATTCAATTCTTTTATGAAATATAATTCTACATTTTCATGTTCTTACTATCCGAAACTCAGTAAACATATATATTTAATACAAAATAAAAGAGTACCCAGAACGCCGAAAACATACAAGCTAATCACATGTGGTATCTTTCATCAAGTATCCTTCTTGAACTTTTATGCATTCTCACATCAAGACGCAAAAAAAATCTCGAAAATATAAAATTCTTGATTGTTAACGCTGATTCAATTATACTTTCTGAAAACCTTACCTTTGTTAACGGAAATATCTTGATTTGCATAGACTTCACGTCATTTAATGCAAACTGCTTTATTTTTTGAAAATAAAAAATATTTTCGGAAGATTTTTTTGTTTTCCGATAATTTTTACAGCTTTTTATTGTATACTTCATTGTAATCTGTGATCACAAAGGTAAGATTTTCAGAAAGTATAATTGAATCAGCGTTAGCAATCAAGAATTTTATATTTTTGAGAGATGTGTGTGTATGGAAAAAATTGCTTCTTTCCGTAATTGTATTTTATGATATTACTGATGCAAATAGTATAAAAAAATAATGAATGATGTTCCTTGGTTTATTTACTAATATAATGGTTTATTTACTAAATAATAATTAACCCTAATATAAAACTCATGAGTACAATTATTTTATAAACGTATTCGCAGTTATGATTTGCAATTACGGCTGTGTTCGGCTTTACTGCTCACAACGCTTTAAATGTTGTTTCATGCTTGTTGTTTATTAAATATTAAACAATACCAGGCTGACATAACTTGTTGATGTCACGTGTTTATTCCCTCTTTTTTATATGTGTGCAATGAGTTACTATCAGACGAGCATATTCTTGTCTTTATATTATGGTTGAAGCAAGACACAGTGACGTCATTGTTACGCGGTTACGAACGCTAAGCACAATAACAATGTGGATGAATTTACTATATTCTAATGAAATAGCGAGACTAGAAAGAAATGTGAAATCACTTATTTAAAAATTAATACGCTTGTATATCTTTTATGTTATTTACATAATATTTTTAATTCCATAATTAATTTAATTTAATTTTTATTTTGAGTTAGCTCAACGAACTTGTTTCTGTGGTTTCGTTTTTCGTGTCTTGCATTTTTCCATTATCTCGTAAACAATTTAGAGAAAAAATTTTCGTGAAAAATGTGTCATAACATTTTGTCCAACGAAAAGTACACAGTAGCAAAATAAAAAAATGTAAAATACATATATGAGATGTTTACTTACTTATGTTTAATCGTGTTATTTAAAGGGATCCTAAAGCTCGAATTCCGATGAAGACACCAGAGATCGCTGTTTTTTTAGCGCATCAACATGCTTTATACATTTATATATCATATCAATATTTCATGCAACTTATGATAGCAGTTATACAATTCAATTTTCGTATAACAAATTCGTCACGATAAAGCGTCTAAGTTTAATTCTAAGAACTCGACATTTTTTGTTCGTGCAAACTACGTGTTTATGGATTACTATTTCGTAAGTACAGATTGCAAAACTTTCGTATCAAGTAAAGTAATGTTGTGACAACTTGAGACCTTGAGACATTACACTAAGAAACACTAAAAAATAAAAAAAAATATATCAATTTCAAAATTTTTGATCGTTCTCGGCATAAACTCCATTTCACAAACACGTATTAATGCGTATATTTTAATTATGCGTATATTTTAATTCTTGGAAAAAGATTTTCGAATCTGTGAAAGAAAATAAAGTATTATTATATAAAAATTATATGATTTAATCGATAATACAGATGGTTTTAGGATCTCCTTAACGGTACGCCTCTTGGCCAGACGTTAGTGGACGCGCGCGGCCATTGAGTGCCGCATGACAAATTTATTATTTAGGAGTTATAATAATTAGTAATAGATAAATAATTAATTTGGACAATCGTTATAAAAGCA